TGCATAGGTTTAAGGCATTTATTATCACTTTAATTAAAGTAAGTTAACATAAATCTTATTTTAGATCTTATATTACAGTCTTTATACGACATTTATAAGATGAGCTTGTGAGAATTTCTAGTTTTTACGTTCAACCGTTCTCATATTTCACCCCTGAAACCAGTGAACGGCTTTAGGTAAATTTTTTTATTGGTTGAATTTAATTGTCCTTACTAAATATATCGTCCAGCAGTAATTTATGCTTTATTTGATACACAGATCGAACTTAAAATTTTTCAAAAACCATTAGTTATACAGAAATTTCATACGTGATAACTTGTAAAGATTAAAGTTAATAATGAGATATGACGTTTTCACAAAGATAAATTATAGATTTTGACAGTGTAGTCATGTAGGTAACTAAATAAAATTCTCAGGAACCAACTGCCCTAACTTCAGAATGAATAGTTTAGACTACTGCCCTGAAAATAGAAGCAGCAGTTTCTTCCGGAACGTTAATAACTACCTGCAGGACAACACGATGTCGCCACTTAGAATTTAAACACAGAGCCATGAGAAAATAAGCGGTCAGTGATCAGATTCACGTTTCGGCCACTTTACCCACTCACCTCTGAAAGAGCCCTCTGCTCATTCGAAAAAAGTTTCTGCTTTTGTGAGTCGTCCATGGTGGTATACCCTGCGGCCAGCTGCTATATTGATTAATTACTTGATGCATTTAATACCATAGTCAACTATGTGTATGGGTTTTGAGTGATTCGCAGTGTAAACAGTGATTCATCTCGTTTTCCTCTTCTTTTGTTTTTCTATCTCCACCCTTTTCATCTTCGTGTCCTTATTTTCCTGTTCTACTCCTCCAGTTCTCACCCTTTTCTTCTCATTCGTAGAGAAATGTGATAGGTGTGGTATGGATTGGATTCGTATGGCACAAGATAGAGAACATTGGCGGGATTTTGTAATGAACCTTCGTACTTCATAAATGTTTGACATTTTTTTGAGTGGCTAAGCAACTGTTGGCTTCTCAAGGACTCGGCGCCATGGAGTACGTACTGCCGGTTTAACCACAAGGCAGACTGGGGCAGTCGCGTAGGGTGACAAAGAGGAATAGCGTAAAATAAAACATTATAAGATGTTAAAATAGGAAGAGAAAAACAGAGGTAAAGAATAAATTTGTTTTCGGCTTTGGAAAATGGCGGAAAAAGTACTTGGTATCGTATACAAATTGTTTGTATGTGCGTAATGAAGTCGATAATGTGACAGATCAGACCAGTCTTCGCATTTTCTGACTCGACAGTTGCACCGCCACAGATTTTATGCTGATAGGCTTTGTTTTGTTTTTGTTCACATTTCTTTTTCTTCTTAGTTGTTTTCCTTACAGATTACAGATTACATCTACGGGCATTAATTGATAAAATAGAACTCTGATTTGTGTTCTTTTATGGTTGGTGCATATTTTGTGTACTATGTAGAACAGAGACAATACACATCGCATTATTATCCAAAAGTAAATCTGAAGTTATAAATGAAAAATACTTTTTTTACGGGGAGTGCAAGGCTAAAGGTTCGCCTAGGGCGCCAGATACCCTTCCGTCGACCCTGGAAATACCGTGGAATATGTGGAAACATCTTTCGTAGAATTGTGTTTGTGAACCGTTACAACGAAGTTATGTACTCCTGTATGAAAATTCGTGTAATGAGTTCTTACGTGTGCGAATTTTAAATGAAATTTTTCTTGCATGTTGAGAAATACTTAACCGTAATTAATTAACTGACTTCAGGGGGCCTTGCTTGAAACGCTCATAGTCATCCAGCTTGTAGAATTTCCGGTGTTCTATATATGGAGCTCGAATTATCATTGTCATCAGTCAGTAACTCTGCATTTGTCCACAAAGTGTTTATGGATTTCATATGATTCTCATAATAAATTTTCCTCTTGAACTGAGTTAATTCTTAAATATTATTTAGATGAGGTTTTTGCTTCAAACGGTTACAAGGTTTTTAATACCCACTCGTTCATGAAAAACCTGAACTATGCTGTACGCTGTTTTAAGAAACGAGGTTCCGGTCATCGAGTCACGGCTGTAGGCCTATGTCCATTAGGTCTGGTGTGTAGTTAAAGTTACTGTCATTTATGTAGGGTTTTCTTTGCCTTCAACTGTATTATCTCATTTTCGTGTACTCGCTTACAACTCTCATTAAGGTAGTGTAGTGATTAACGTCATTTTGAGAAGGTCCTGAGATCGAAGCTTGGTTCGAGGGTAGATTATCCTTACAGGTTTTCTTGCTCTTCCACATTTTATTATAACCCCTTAAAATAGACGACTATCGTTTCTTAACGCACCCTAAAGCCACCCAACTGTTCTTGTTGTATAACCTTCGTAGTTGAAAAATGTTATATTTAATGAATAAAATGTCATTAAAGTTGTGTGGACCATCTGTCAGTCAGTCTGATGAGCTCGTCGTAGGTTATCTGCTATAAACTCCTTTCACTGTGAACAGCGTTTCTTCCGTTCTGAAGTCATTTCTCTGTAATAGGACACAATGTTCATGCCTAGAATCAGTGAAAGCCCCAGTGTCTGAAGACCTTGCCGGTCTCCTCCCACAGGTCCACGTATAGGTCTCTTACGATCTGCCGTGGACCTTGCTCCAGTGCTATACATATATTCTCCCCCTGTCCCCTCCACCTTACCTGCATCTGACATTATGTATCAGATATAAAACAAGGTGTTTGCTTCAGAAACCGGCCCAGTCGAACAAATATACTTTGTGGAGGTTGGAAATACGGACCCATTAATTGAGATAACAGTGCCCTTTGGAACTTCAAATAATGGCGCTTCCCAGACTGGTATGTAGTTATCGTGACGAAATCGCGTAAATGAAATATATTCTGTGAATATAGAATCATAATTACGCATGTGACATTTGCTTGTTTGTGGCTATTCGTTAACAGTGTGTTTTGTTTTGAAAACTATTGTTTCAACGCACTCAAGTGATTATATTGTGAATCTTATTAAACCAATATGGCGACATGACCATTGTTAGCTAATACGTAATAATGTGCTAAATGTGAATTGGTGTAAATGGTTTCTGAGATAGGAAGTGTTCTAACGGCGTTAATTTTTAGCTTCAGAGCAGAGAATAGACTAAAGGAACAATTAAAATCACTTTTAAAATATAATCACATTTCTTAAATTTAATTAAATTTCTTAAACATTTTACGAAATTTTGGTCTTATTGCCATTTAGAAACAATGTTAGTAGGAAGGATTATATTAATTTAGAGGTGTTCTAAAGTCTCAGTATTTTTTGAATAATTCAGAAATTGCATTTGTTGCTAGCGTTGCTAGCCTGTTTAATTACGTGTTTATAGAAATGTATGATAATCCGGGGGGTGGGGGTGAAATGATGAAAATATAGCAGCTCATCAGATGCGACCATCATAATTTGTTATTAGTGTTGAAAATATCTTAGATGAAAATACTTCGGCTAGGTGTAGCTTAGCTGTTTAATCCCGTCTCTTAGATGTTAATGTTATTTTAATAGTTTATTGACGTTAGAGGTAAATAAATGCTTGTAATTAATAATACCAGTTTTTGCGTGTCGTTATGCATGTAATTCAGTATTTTAGTTCGTGCGATTATTATTTTAAATCAGTTTATGCAGTTATTGTTGGAAGTCTCTGATAAAAGCTGAAAACAGGATTTATGATTTTGTGTAAAGTGGTCGTTTAAACTTTTCGATCTAGATGTAAATGGGTTGACAGTTTTTTGTAAAAATCTGGAATGTGTAATTTAATTACATTCGGGTTATCAGTTCTCGAGTTGCGTACGGTGGAAGATGATCACGCTCTACGTCACAAAAGCTTCATATGAACTGGCCTTAAAATTACTACACAATTTCATGTTTTGTTCTTTTTTTGTGTGTATTAATACCAGTATTCGGGAGATAATCTTCAGTCTTTGAGATGTAGAGGTTTTGTGATTGCATCACATAGATGTAAGTACTTTTACGGACAATATTAACGTTTATATTAATCAACTCTAACAAGTTCAAAATTGCAACATGCCATGTGGCTTCATCTATTAAACGAGAAAAATAATCACGAGATATTATAACGATTCTTTATATTAATGCAATAGTCGATTAAACTCGTAATTCTTTTACAGGCCTTAATTGAATAGAATAATTTGTTCAGACGTTAATATTAACGGTAGAAGAGACAGTACACCGATTATGTAACGGTTCCAGTTCAGTTACTCCACCTTGACGTAACGGTCGAGAGTCGAAGCAGACAGCATTAGCTGTTATTGTTATAATCAAATGCGGATTTCTTGTAAGCCATGCCGGTATTACCTTGGCAGTAGATAACAAGTACCAGGGTTCAAATAGTTTCAATGCATATGTGTAGATGGCGTTAGTTTTAGGAAAAGTACGCTTGTCAGATGAACTACTCTGTTAAGGTGCGTGAAAATGGCCCAGGTGGTTTATTACTGGTTAAAAATAAAGCGTATAGTCAGTTTACAAGTACGTTTTAAAATTTCCCAAATACACACACACACACACACGTAACACTATTCAGTTTTTTTTTCAAATGTCTTTTGTCTGAATGAATGAATGGTATATCACGCTCATTCCAGACAAGAAACGAAATTACGTTACTAATACATGAACAGACAAAAAAAATATTTTTCACGAGTAGCGTCATTGTAAGTGTAGACGAATTATACCCTCATTCTTCTTAATGCTTAATGAAGTATAGGCGAACTTTTGAACTTGGAGGCCAATGTTTTAACTTGGTGTCTGGTCAATTACTTATTTAATTTACTGGTTTACAGCTGTATAGGTTACCGTCCAGGGACGCGTAAATCACGACGTTCTTTGTGCAGTGAGCTACGTTGATTCTGAATTGATGAAAGAAAGAAAGAGTAATAAACAAAGATATGTAATTACTATAGATTTGCTGCGTGGCGGTCTGTGTTTACTAACTCCAATGCTCATCCACAGATGGCAGTGCTGGCACTCTTGTTTTCGGCAACGCTAGCTCAGCAATATAATGGCGGAAGCAACTATGTGGAATCTGATTATGAATATGAAGCTCCAGTCCAGGAGGCCCCAGCTCCAAGGCCACCTCCGAGGTCTTTCTCGCGCCCCGCACCCTCCCCGTTACGGCAAAGTGGCCCGCCTCCCCCTAGAGCTACACCAGTTCCTATTCTAAAGCAAATAAACAGGTAAGTTTACCGTGTAACCGGTCAGGTCGCCTGATCTCGCCCATAAAATACAATAGCATTAATGCAACTCGATCAGCCCGTACGAAGGACACCAGACCAGTGGCTGCCGGGATTTATTTCTGTCAGGGTCACTATGCCAGATCGGTCTGGGACCCACGCAGCCTCACAATCTATTGTTTTTGGATTTATTTCTTTCGGGGTTAAGTGGCTGGAACTTGAAGCTAACCACCAATACACAGCGCTTAGATTAATATTGCGTAGTGCTTTTTTCCCATCCCCATTTCCTTCTTCTTGGCGTGGTGCTTAGGCGTAGGGACAATTTAATGTTAACTTTATTTTTTCCTGATTCCCCTTTCACAAAATTTGGTTCCCGGAAAATTAGTGTTCTTGATGACGCATACTTTATAATCCTTTCCATATGCTCATTTCATGGCAATTTTTTATATTTTCTGCTCCATATTATATTTTCATACCGCTGATTTCAGTTGAAAACTTTTTAGTTGTTTTTCTTAATTTATAAAATCCATTTGCATTGAATATAGCCACAACTGTTCACAATGTTTTCTCTAAGTGGTAGCCAACAACCATTAATACCAAAGACCGTCATTGAACACGATCCTGAGCCAATTCCAGCTACCTCTCATTCTCACGTCTCTTAGATTCATCTTAATGTTATCCTCACGTCTCCTACAGGTTGCCACACCAAAATTTCGCATGAATTTTTCTATTAAATTTTAGTTGCATTTCGAGCCCGCTGTATATTTGCTTTTCTAACAAGTTCTTCGTTGAAGATGGCTGTCTTCTGGGTTGTAGCACCATGTAGTCTGGTAGAAGATTTCCGACGTTTCGAAGGTTCTTACTGCCTCCATTATCATCGCCCTGATGATGGAGACAGCACTACACGATTTAACATACCAGAAGACAATAGTCTTCATACTCCCCGCCGTGATAACCTGAAATTTCACAAAGTTCCTCGTTGTCTGCTATTCTAAATTAAACACTAGTTTAATCTGTCTTAGGTTCACATGTATTGCTTCTTTGCAGACAAAATTCACATCACTGAGACTGTTCTACTGGAAAGAGAAATTGTCCTCTCGTTTGTCTTGCGGAATTATATCGCTATTAGTTCTATATAGGCCACTCCATGTATCGTGGATAAAGAAAAAACGTTCTGTAGCCTTGACTTAACGTAAGACCTCGGTTTGCTTTTAAAATACTTGCCCTTTCACTCTGCAACTTGCAGCGGTATACGCCATAACGGGTTACCTGCAACTCATTGTTATGTCATGAACAAGCGAGAAACTTCGAAAGTGAAAGAATTTTCTCTGAGTAGAAAGATAAAGTACACTCAATCTGTGATTTAAAACTGAATGTCCTTAGACAGGTCCCAAGGTTAACACTCGTTCATTCCAATGTTACGTCCTAATCACTGGCGTGTCTATGATTTATTTTCTGAGAAATTTTTAAAAAATAGCGAGTCGTAGTGAGTCAATAATAAATAAATCTGAGAACTTTAATGGACAGAGAAGGAATTTTTCCTCATTCTTTGTTCTTCTTTTCGTGGATGTTTTTATCACCTATTTTAATGTATATTTCCTCTCCTGCTTCATTATTCCAGCCCAATTACTTTTAATATTGTCTCTGAGTTTCTTTACTTATTCCTTGTAATTTAACTTGATCAATTTATTACTATCCAATTTGCATTGATTGACAAATGCGAGACGTCTACTCGTTAGGATACTACTTTGACGGCTGTGAAATGTGGCCGGATAAAATAGGAAATAATTTAATTATTTTATCGTAAATGTAGATAACCTATTGGGAATTTTTCTGATAATCTGAGGCACGTGATATGAAATATTGGACACTTATTTTTTGTAAGTACTTTTGAGTAGAAGAAATTAAATAGTGCACAGGTGAGTTAAATTTCTATGAGTTTTATAACCAAGAATGTAAGTGAGAATTAAAATGAAAACAGGAAGTTCCGATTGGGAAGTAGAAAGTTCAGCCAAGTTGCCGTTTCAGGCACAATGAGGACGGCTCGTACACTTATGGGTACGAAGGCGCTGATGGCAGTTTCAAGATCGAGACGAAGCTGACGACCGGTGAGGTGATGGGCAAATACGGTTACGTTGACGACCTGGGGAAGGTGCGCGTTGTGGAATACGGCGCCAACAAATACGGGTTCCAGCCCGCCGGCGAGGGCATCACCGTCGCCCCTCCCACTCTGGTTGATGAGACCAAACGTCCTCGTGAGGGTCCTGCCGTCGAATACGACGACGGACAATACTATGAGGAGCCCGCTGTTCGCTCCCAGGCACCCGTCAGATTCTCACCTCCTCCTCCTCCTCGTCCCGCACCTCCCCGACGCCCCGTCGAGGAGTCTTACAGCTACGACACTTACTCTGACCCTCCTCCGGCTCCAAGGCCTAGTCCACCGAGACCCGGCAATAGTGGTCCGGTGCCTCCTAGGTCACAGATCCCAGGAGCGATCCCTGCAGGTGGTTCCAGCACAGGGATCGTGTACTCCCAGCCCAGACCATCCCCCAAGCCTCATGGCTTCTCCCAGGCGATTCCATCGGTTCGCCCCACTCCGCATCAGCAACCAGTGTACCATGCACAGCCGATAGCCCCAGCCCCGTCTCGACCACAGGCCAGACAGACCGGGGGAATCCTCGACCAACTCGCGAAGGACTACGCTCTGCCACCAGGCGGACAACCGCTGCACGATATCTCTTTTGGGTTCTATTAGATCACATGAACTCGCTTCGATGGCTACTTTCATGCACCGCTCAGCTAGCGTCTTTATTGCAGAACGGATATTGAAACTAACCATTACATCATACAATCAAACCATTCCATCGAAAAGAAAGTAACTCGGTTAGACCATTAACCCTTTAAAGCCCAGTAGCAGCTATATTTACCATCTACTAACCAGTAGCGAAGAATTTTGTACACCCCTAAACAGCGTTAATCAAACGCAGTGGAGAAGTGTTATTTTTTTTAAGCTGCGGTAGAATTCTTAAATATTATTTAGAAGCGCTTCGGATTTAAAGGGTTAACGGCGTGGTTTTCTTTTTTTAACTGTCGGCACTCGAATTAAGTTGTTTATGTTTATAATGTGTTGTTTGCTTTGCGACTGTGTATGTACTGAAGTTTAATTTTTTGTGAGATAAATATTCACGTGTCCGACTGTAAAAATGTGTACAACCCATAAATTATTATAAGAGAAGTCAGCCTTTTTCAGCTAGGAGAAAAAACTATCTTCTGTATTTATTGTACAGTTGTTAAACCAGTTGATGCAACTACCAATTTAATTTAGTAATAAAAACACGAAACTTTTTTTGAGATGTAAATACACTGCGGTAGAATGGATTCTTCTGATACTTGTTGATGATTCTCAGTTGACTTCTGGATTATTTCAATGAGGTACTTCTGTCAGGGATAAGCTGAATACTTATCTAGATTTTTTCTCAAGTTATTTTTTTACAATTGTTGTCAAAATTGAATTGAATTGAATTGAATTGAAAAGTGAGTTGCTTCAGAAGTTGGTTACGTAAATCAGGTGTAATCTGATAAACTCTTACATGATCGTGTGGTTACTATTTGTACCCCCTGTTTTATTCAGCACTTCGTCATTTCGTTCAAATGTATTTATAGGTTTCGTGTAGTTTCTGTAACATAACACGATTGTTTTACGACGCATATTTTAACATAGTGATGATAGGGTGTCATGGAAGTGCAGATTCTTGGACGAAAGCATTTGCCATCAGGCAATATATTCAAAACAGCGGGCCTTTGTGTAGTGTGTCACATCAATGTAAATACTTCTGAGATATTAGCGTTATTAATTTAAACAAGAAAGTAATATTTCGTGATCGATATTATATGTGCCACTTACCCTTTTAATGACACCGGATACAACCTGTTAACTGGAACAGTTATGGCGGTGTTATAATTTTATATAGTCATGGCTTTGTATGGACGATGCGAGAAAGTTATTTCCGCGGTAAGTTTCCATAGCAACGCGTAGTGAGAAATTGTGCCGGGTAACTTAATGGTTCCTGATGGAAGCGTTACGTGGTTGTCTTCAGTATATCCAGACCAATACGAAGCAGAACTTGAAATGTCACATCAAGCCATCATCATAAATCATAGATCGTAATAACTATGTGTTATTTCGTGTTACAGCACTTAACAACTTTTGCTTTTCATATTTGTTAACTTGTTCCACGGTGCAGAATCCTTGAGAAACTCAGTCACTAAGTGACTCAAGAAATTCCTCGCCGTTTATACACCCAGAAGATTCATTGGCATGTTTATAAGACACCGCCATTGGACCCTATGCTGAACCAGATGAATCCAGTCCACATCTTCACAAACTATTTTGTTGTGATCAGTTTTAATATTACCCTCACCTGTACATCAGGGCATCCACAGTGATTAATATCTTTCCTTAAGGATTTACTTTTAAAAATCTGTATATATTTCTCATCTCTCTTCATGCGTGCTACATGCCCTCGTCGAATCCTCTTTGATTGTATCACACTGGCAATATTTGGTGAAGAGTAAAAGTTGTGAAGCTTCCTTCACCCTCATGTTTCTTCCTCTCTTTAGGACCAAATATTTTCATCAGGAATTTACTGTGAAACAACCTCAATTTGTGATTTTCCCTTAGAGTTCGACATGCATGTGAAACAAGAGTTAAAAGTTATTTAAATAAAGTATATTTTAATGTTTAGTATTCCAGGTAGCGGACGAGAAGATATAATATTATTTTGCTGACTGGTAGAAAGCACTCCCTCAATTTAATCTGATTTCAACGTCTTCATGGATGTAACTTCGATTTAAACCCTTAAACTGTCTTAAATCAAAAAACTGTAGTTGATATTGAGACAGCAATAGACGGAGACATTGGTGGGAATTTCTTTAAATCTGAACTAACTACACTTTGTAAGTTCTTATGAGCCCAAAGCCGCTCACCATGTGAAGAAGATCTTGTTTTTTTTTTATGTAACTGGAGGGTTTATTACCGCGTTCTCAAGAACCCGCCACCAGTCACAATCTTTAGTCAGATAAATTCAGTGGACACATTCCCACCCGATCTGTTTAATATGCATTTTAATATTGTGCTTCATCTATTTCTAGATTTCCAGTGTTTTCTCTTCCATTTATGCTTTTCAAACAAAATTTTCTCATCTTCCCATCTGTGCTACATACTCGGCCCATCTTATCCTTTGTGCAGATTTTTATATTGGGTAATGAATTTTCCCCCACCCTCGTGAAACGTGACGTAACTGGGAGTAGTTTCTAGGTGTGCCCTAGACTTTACCGGACTTTGCAGGAGAATGGTAAGTACTAAGCAGAAACTATTCATATTAAGATTTCCGTCTTCTGGGTGATGATATTCATCACCCTGATGACGGAGGCAGTATGACCTCTGAAACGTTGGTTAACATCAACCAGACTACACAGCGCAACAACCCAGAAGACGGAAATCTTCATACTCACCGCTGTGAGAACCTCAAGTCTTACATATTCATATTAAATTGTTGAAGGACACATTCTTATTTCTAAACGTGGGTTTCTCGCGTTTGAAACAAGTTTAGAGTGAATTATTATGCTGTATGATTTATTTACACATTCAACAACCTATATTTTTGGCTTATAGTTTGAAATATTTTTCGGAATATAGTATCTTTAATCATCATCTTCGTGGGATAGGCTAAACAGCCTGTTCCAGTTCACGTCTGAGACCATCTTTTTCTGGGTCTTCCAGATTTTCTTCTTCCTCTAGGTTTACTGTCTTTAATATAAAGTAAATACTCGTAAAACTACAAAATTTCAGAATTTCTTTCTTTGAACTGGTTACAGTTTGAAAGAGTAACATTCCAGGTTGATTGAAATCGTTGAAATACACGAACACGTTTATTCAATACGTCAGCAATAAGTTACGGGTATTTCAACTTATCTAATGCAGGTGGGAATCTTAGTTTAAAATGTATGTTGGTTGAGATCAGTGTATGTACCGTGTTACTTTCTATATGAGGAACTAGCCAAGGCTGGGTGACTGAATTTCCTGTCAACAGTGTAGGGCCAAAAAGTGATTTATTTTAACCAGAATAATGGTAATCAAAAGCTTACATTTCACACACATGTGCAAATCGTACTCAATTTTGATACGTGAGTAGCCGTGGGTAGAATAATAATTTTGACATTTATGCGAAATAAGTTGGTTCTATGGGTGTGGATAGAATGAATTTTAATGGGGTTATGGCCCACAAGAGAGCTGTTGTGTATACGATAATGAACCTTCGGGTGTATTTATTCATTAGTTGTGAGACTATCAGCTTCTCAGGAAGAACTACTCCATGGAATTAATACGTCTTGTTTTCCTGAAAGCGAATCATTCTTTGTTATTTAATTAGGGACATGCCTTCTTGTTTTCGTAATTTATGGCCCAAATCTGCTCAGTCGACTATGTAATTGAACAGACACGCCACTTCATGTTCCTGAGACAGATAATTAAGCGTGTTTTGACCCAACGCTAAAATAATTCTCACAAGACAGAATGGGAGAATGTAATTTATGAGTGCAAAACAAAACTGTGTAACTCTGTATTCTCCTGACTTTAAAGCAATTAAGATGGTTTCTTTAAACAAGCGGACCAGTTGCCGTCAATTGTTTCTTGTTAATGTAAATGTTATTAACATAATTTACTAAAAGGAGTTCTTTTCTCAAAAGAAAAAACACACTGACTGATTATGAGCCTTTGTGTTGACAAACACTCCAACCAGACAACCGTTGTTGCGTGTGTTATGTGTTTCATGTGACAAAAGACGAAAGAAATTTTCGTGTTTACAACTTTCTGTAATACATTTCTTGCAACGATGAACTCTGTTAGCTTGGTAACAGTTTCCTCGGTCCCAGGGTGTCTGAAGACAAAGACGTGCTGTGGATATTTCATTTACTAACGCACGTAACAGATTTTACAATGACGGGATCTGACAAAACTATTTAAGACTACGTACTGTGACTTAACTGCATCATAGAATACAAAAGAACTTAAGTTTGTTATTCTTTCCCTGTACTGGACACACGCAATTCTATCGAAGTATAAATATCGATATTGTGTCGTCATAGTAGCATGTTGGAACGTTGTCACGCCAACAACATGAAAATGCAGTCTGTTGAAAGATTTGTATTCAAAAGACGATCCCATGTTTCTAAGAATATTAATATTACCGGCAGTCAGAATTTCGCAGGTTACATCAACGGTAGGCCCGACCTCAAGTGATTACATACGAAATATTGTAATTCTGAAACATATGTCTTGTTTCAGACTTATTTCTTGCTAGTGTCAGTATAAATTGAGGTATGTAATTGAAATTATTTATCTTTTTCCATCATCTTACCACACATATAAAATCATATTTTGAAATTCTATGTACTCAGACGACATAGCTCTAAGGCGTAATCTTTATAGTTCGTAACAATGAAATTGTGTGTCGAATCCCACTCGAGGCTCAGAAGTCTATCCGTGTTTTGCCGTATTGTATTGTCCTGTGTAGGTAGAGGCCTTGCATTGAGTAGACCCCCGTACAAGGAATCCTGCCAAATGTCGAAAAAAGTTTCTAAATGCTGGCAGAAAATTTCCCAGAAAGGCCAAGCCTTATAGTTGGCTATAAAACATGTGTAATGACGTGACGTCTCTGGTGGAGTACGCATTTATACTCTGTTCAGGCTCCTCCTAATGTTATGTAAAGAATTAAGTGAAAAATGTTCGTGTCCAAGCCATTTAATTGCGGAATTGAAGGTGATTTCGCGAACCGTGACCAGTGTAATATTTTATTAGTATTTTTACATGGACCCAGCGTTGGGAGCTAGTCGCTTATTGGTAACCGCCCTTTCACCGTGTAGCACTTCATATATTACCACAACACTCATGTTCTCCGGTTCGCTCTATGTAGGGGACCGAGTTGCCACAATCAGGGTCCAGAGGTCGGACCAGCCCCTCGAGATGGTAATCTACTTTCGTCTCGGTTTCCGTGACAAAGGTTTGTTCTTAAAACAAAATAAAGTACATTTCTTTAATTCCTAATGGCTTTATTTTCACCAATCTATTGAGTAACATCAAGGACGTCTTTTGTCACGATATTTTACCTCGTTCATTCATAAGTGAACAAAGAAATGTATGTCACTTTCTTTTTATACAGTGTCATGCAGAGGAAGGTAGTCATATTACGCATTTATTATAAGACTAGGCGTTTGCTCTTCAAAATCTTTCCTTGTCAACACCCTTTGGCTGTTTAAATTGAAGATACTGAACAGTACTGTGCGACGTGGGATGCAAGTCTGGA